CCCCCGAGGTGGGAGGGGATGTAAAATCCAAGGAAAGCCGCTTTCCTTCCAGACAAGTGACCTTTTCCAGCAGCATTCCAGCACTGCTTTCTCTGCCCCACGCTGATCAAGTCAAGACCTTCCCCGACTGGGCTTAATTTACCATCTGACTCCAAGCACCAAGTGCAGAGCCAGACAAGTGCTTTTGATCTGCCTCTTTGTTCAACAAGTGAAAGCTGAGTGAGGGGAAAACCAAATAAATGTGATTATTAAAAAGCCCTGCCCGTTCTTGGCAGGTGAGACTCGGTGTTTGTTCCTGGTTTGGGGTTGTTTTGTGAGGAATGAACGGGAACCTCCTGTTGGCATCACCTGAGATCTCCCTTTGGCCGTGAGGATGATCAGAGGGAGGGACCCCAGGAGGGAGAGGGACAGTTTATCCAGGCAGAGAGGGACAGGACAAGGGGGAATGGTTTTAAACTGACAGAGGGCAGGGTTAGATTGGAAATTGGGGGAAATTGTTCCCTGTGAGGGTGGGCAGGCCCTGGCACAGGTTGTCCAGAGAAGCTGTGGCTGCCCCTGGATCCCTGGAAGTGTCCAAGGCCAGGTTGGAGCAACCTGGGCTGGTGGAAGGTGTCCCTGCCCATGTCAGGGAGTGGCAACTGGATGATCTTTAAGGTCCCTTCCAACCCAACCCATTCTGTGATTTTATTAAGTACAAGACTCGCTGCTTTAACTAAAATAACATCAGAGACAGCTGAGCTTGAACCAGAACAGAGTCAAAAACCATCTCAAAACTGATACTAAATTTGATCTCCAGCACTGACTAGGGGGAATATTTTCACCCAGCTCTTTCTTAGGCAATTATTGAACTGGAAGTTAGTGAAAAAGTGAAGCATTCACACTTAATTTTTAATGGTAAGATCTCTGCAAGGAGCTTTGTAGGAGATGAAATTCATGTCCCATAGACATAGCAAACGTGCTTCCCACAACACAAAGTTTATTTATAAACCCCCTCCAGATTTTGTTAAAAAAAAAACCAAACAAACTACTAAATTTGAAAAGTTGCTGAAAGGAAATATTTCCCACTTGGAAAAAGAAAAGCCAACAGCCTAATGGAGCTACATTGGGAATTCCGGAGTCAGGTTGGGCAGTTCTGCACCGACACTTTGTCAGGAACGAAGGGAAGAACTGCTCGTTTCTGGCAGCAGAAATCAAGCAAGGTTGTACACTGACTGTTCATCTGTTCAAACTGCTGCCTTTAGTGATCTTGATTATTATTATTATTCATTCCCCTTTTTTGTTCATTCCCTACGAAGCAGCTTTAAAATCTCTGGAGCCGACACAGTTTGGGGTCTGTGTTCTTCCCTCTCTCAAGGCACCTCAGGATGCTTTGATGTCAAACAAGGGCTCTGCATTTTTATCCCTGGCAGTTAATGGTTTCCCACAGTATTTACTGCATGGAATTCTCAAGTACTTTTTTGCTCATCAGCCGTTTTAGGGGGATCTATCAACAAAATATTGGTGTTTGGTCTAAAGAAAGTCTGACCTGAGAGCTCTGATCTCCCTGAGATCTGGAGGTGCCTGCTCGTGTTGGTCGCTGGGATCTGCAGCAGCTGCCAAAACTTTAAATCCAAAAAGGGGGGAAAAAAATTCAGATCTGATGGCACTGAAAAAAAAAATAAAATCATTAATCTCTCCTACTTTCATTTTGTTCTTAGCTCATTTCCATTTGATGGTGTTCTTGCCACAGAACACCTAAAAAAATCAGGAAGAATACGAGGTTTTGTTCAAGAACAAAATTCTTGCCTTTTTTATAAATATAAACTTCATACATATAAATTCTTCTAGTGCCTAAAGGGGCTGATAAAAAGGAGGGAGAGGGGTTTTTTGTAAGGGCAGATGGTGACAGGACAGGAGGGAATGGTTTTAAACTGATTAGATATTGGGAAGGAATCCTTCCCTGTGAGGGACAATGGGAGCAGAGTGGCACCAACATCACTCTCCTGGCACTCAAACAGGGAGATTTTGGGGGCAAATTCCCACAAATCCCAGATTTCCTGGCTTGGCCATCACCTTTCCCTGGGTGTGCACAGCCCTGTTCTCACACACCTGAGCTGCCCAGGCCCCAGCGTGTTCCCAGCCTAAAGCCTTGATGAATAGGATTTAATTAATTTTAATTAATAGGATTTAATCCCAGGACTTCCAGGGCAGGCACATCCCCTTGGAGCGAGAACTTTTGAGGACTGGGAGGACACATCTCCCTGCAAACATATCCTGAAGCAAGACAAAGAAGAGGCTGAATATTTGGAAGACACCCAGCAGAGCAAAGCTCAGAATCACCTCAAGAAGGCCCCAAGTGGCTCAGATGATTTTAAAAACTGGGAAAAAAAACCAAACCAAACCAAACCAAACCATAACAAAACCTCTTCCAATCAGTTTATTCCCTCTGGTTTCATTATTTGCATTTAGCAAAAAAAGCCCTTAAGAAAAGAAGTCTTAAACCATCACATTTCAGCCACCCAGGCAAGAATGAACTTTTTCCCCCTCCCAAAAAAAGATTTGAAGCCACCTGGCTCATCTGACAAGTTTGAAGTTTATGGACTCGTACAAGTATTAAATTTATTATTATTAATATTGTGAGAAATCAGAAAAGCCTTCCTGCAGGCTTCTGGTAGGTACTGGGGAGCACAGAAAGGGGGAAAAAAAAGAGCAGCAACATTCAAATATAAAAAAAAAACCCCTCACATCTGATGAGATCCATGAGCATCATCAGTTCTGAGTCCAGAACTACTGAAGGGGTGAATGAGCTGCTTCCTACCAGAAATTCTGGAAAGAGATAGAATTTTAAATGAAAATACCCATGAAAATCTGGAAAAAGACAGAATTTTAAATGAAAATACCCATGAAATTCTGGAAAAAGACAGAATTTTAAATTAAAATATCTTATTTCACTGCCCTATGGGACTGACTTACCACATCCTACACAAAACACTTGCAGCTATGCAGGAATAATTAACCCTGGAGGAATTCTGCCAATCCACCAGTTTTTGGTGTCATTTCATCTCCCAAATTGCCAGTGTTTTGTTTGCTGCTTTTTCCTCAAGGTGTTTAAAAGAGCACTCTCACACCTCAGCATAAACCCAGCTGGTAAAAACTGAATTATAGAGAATAAAATAATTATTTTGAGACGCTGCAAACTGCCTGGGTGATCACACCAACACCAGAAAGAGAGTTACAGTTCCTTCAAGAGCCTGCATTTTTATCACTAAAGATGTTTTTTTTTTGTTATCTACCTTATTTATTACAAATCGAACAGCTACAAGGAATAAAATGGTGCAGCAAAAAATCCAGCAGCGTTTTTAAGTGACATTTTCTTCCTTCTCTGCAACATCAAGGACAGCAATTTAAAGGAACTGAGCCCTCCAGTGTAAATCAGAGTTAAACTCAGGGATCAGAATTCCCTGGGAGCAACAAAAACACTGCTTGTGATCCTGCAAGCCCCTTTCCCCAGGTTATCTGTGTCTTTAAAAGGCATTTTCCACACTTCACTCACTGGATTTTTGGTGTCAAACACACTCATTAAAAAAGGATGTGCAGACACAGAAAGAAAACTGGATATATTTCTGGATGGAAAAGGGCACTGGGTGTGTTTTCTCCATCACAGCCAAACCTTTAAAGAGCATCAGGTATTAGAAAATACTCTGGGACTGAAAACAGAGTAAAAAATAGGTGTTCTTGTTGGACACAGACAGGATCCCTTGACTGCATTTCCTCTTTTCCATATAAAAAAGAAGTTTATCTGTAATTTATCATTTATATTTGGGTAAGACAATCCCTTCAGGAGGAGAACAACAAGCTGCTTTTCCTACTGAAAATATCTTTCCTAAATCCACTCCAGCAGAAAGTCTCCCAAGCCCTGCAGAAGGAATCCACCTGTTTTGCAGCCACGAGGCTGAAAGCAGCAAAAAAATGAGAAGTAAAAACCTCCTGGAATTTATTCTACTTTTAAAATAATAATAATAACAATAATAATAATAAAAAGAAAACAACAGTAAAATTCCCAAAAGTCTTCTGGAGAAGAAACTGGAGTTTGTGCAGCCTGTGGCACAAATGTCCCTGTTAAATGTAGATATTATTGTGACTTTCAGTGGCCGTCAGGAACTTCTTCAACATCTTGGTGCTCTCAGATGCATCCTGGAAAAGGGGAGAGGTGCTCAGCATTAGCCACATTCCTGGGAACAAAACCAACCCCTCCCCAAAAAAACCCCACTATTCCCATTTTTATTCCTCTGAATAGCAGTTTTTATTAAAATATTAAGTGGATTAAAAGAGTGACTGTGAGCAAAACCTGCTCGAGGCTCCACAGGAATTTTCAGTTCAGCCCTAAAATGGGATTATTTTGCCTCCCTCCTCACTTGGACAGCAGAGGAAGAACCTGTGGATTTGTTTTTGTTCTCCTTCATAGTTGAAATATTTATGTATAGTCAGATTTATTCAGCAAAGCAGAACAAGCTGTCCTGAAAAAAATTAAATCTCTCTCACTGAAATCTGTATTTTTCTGCCTTTCCACTTGGAATCCTCCCCAACAGCAGAATTCAAAGGGTGAAAGACAGACCAAAATAACCCAGTAATTATGAAATGTGGTTTTTTTGGTTCATTTTTTATTTTTTTTTACCTTGACCAAACTCTTGAGGACTTCAGAAGAAAGCAGAGGCTTGAAGGCCTCAATTGTCACCGTGTCCAGCTTGATGACGTCAGTGTAGCACTGGTAGAGCACTGCAGGGATCTGCCACACCTGGCAGTAACTCAAAACTAAAGCAAAAACAGAAGAAAAATGGGGGTTTGATTCCAGCAGAGAAGGGATCTCAGCTCTGAGTGTAAAAATGGCAACTTGGAAGGGGTGGAAGTTTATAAAGGAACTGCTCCAGCCACCCCTCATCTCACAGAAAAAAAACCCCAAAAAACAGTTGGTGTCTCTTCCTGGCAAATATTTTAACTGGAAACTGTGTGTTAGTGGTAAATAAACTGGGTATAAACTGGAAAATGTGTATTGTTGGTAAATGAAAATACTGTTTTTCCTCATGTTGCTGTTAATTGATTCTAAAGTAAAAGCTGGGGGGGGGGGGTGTTATTGGATTAAATAATAAAACTGGAGCTAAATTTTGCCTGAGGCCAATCAGAAGCATTTTGAAACATCACCTCTAACACACAGAAAGAAATTTATGAGCTTTTACTTTGGATGCTCAGATGAAAGTAATTCTTAATAAAACCCACTTAATTGTAAATAACTGGAATTGTAAATAACTGGAATCGTAAATAATTGGAACTGTAAATAAGTGGAACTGTAAATAATTGCCAAATACCAGCAGCAGGGAGATCCCTCACAATGTTGGGCTGTTCCAGCAGTGGGCAGCAAACCTGCTCCTGGAATTCTTTGGTCTTCAAGGCTTTCAGGAACGGAGATGCAAGCGTTAAAGTGGATTCCTGAGTTTTGTAATCAGCCACGGGGCACGTGGAGAGGATGGTTACCTGCAACCCTTCCTTCTGCATCGAGCCAAAAACCTGGGATTGAAAGAAAAACACATCAGGAAAATTTATCTTAAAAAAAAAACAAAACTAATATTAATTTTAATTTCAGTGCAAAGGGCGGTTTAACTCAGGTTTGCAGGACAATTTGGATCGGAAATTTTCAGGCAGAAATTTCTGCTCTGGGGATGGATATTAAAAAAAAAAAAAAAAAACAAAAAACAAAAAAACCCCCAAACCACCCAAAAGAACAGCTAAAATGTTTTCACCAAGTCTAGTGATTTTCTGGAGGGTTTTTTTTTTAGGTTTTCAGCACTTTCTGTTCAATCTGCAAATATCTCAATTCGTGGTGATTGTGGGAAGAAAAAGGACTCCAAATGAAAGCAGGCAGCTCACTGAGCTGCAGGGCCTTTGAGGTGGAAATTGTGCCTTCCAGCTCTTCTACAACATCCCAAGAGCCTTTATCTTAAACACTTTATTTTAAATACTCAGATTTTATTTAATTCAAGCCGAGTGGAGAAAGAGAAGTTGAGATAAATGGTGCTTTGGAGGCACCTCCCTCCTTGTGGAGGGCACAGAACACCCCCATGAACAGACACCCCCCATGGGGATCCTCCCCACAGGTTTGGTTGGTTGATCCCTTGGCAGCTGCACAAAATGCAGATGTGTTCCCACTTTTTTTTTTTGGAAGGAAAGATCCTCCAGGAGCTGAAATGCAGCTGGAAGAAGCCATGGGAAAATTAAAGCCACACGGGGGAAAAGGGGGTTGGAAAATTGAGATTGTCCAAAAGATGTAACAGTAAAATCTGGGCATTTGCTGGATATTTAAACAAAGAAAGCCACTGGGGAAAAGTTATTTCCAACACTGGCACGTTCAGATTATCAGAGAAAAGGTCCCTGCACTAAGCTGGAGATCCCCACCCCTAAGATTTCATCACTCAGTTTGTTGCCCTGCCAGTTTTACCTTCTCGAGCCACTGGAACTGCTGATCCTCAGCCACGTAGCAACTGCACTGGCACAATAAAACCTTAAAAAAATAAAAGAATGGTGTAAGCAAATGGTTTAAAAAGCCCAACAACAGCTCATAATCACATATAGAAGTGATGTGGCTGCAGACAACAGCTTGTAAAGTTATTTGGAGGGGTTTTTTAACTCTATTTCAACAAGGATTTGTCACTTTGGACTGAGCTTCACACAGCAGTTTTAGTGAGCACCAACCCTTGAGATTATTTATGAGATCCATCCAAGCTCAATGGCCAAAACTGCTCCTGCTTTAACAGAGCTAAATATTTCATTTAACAGAGCTAAAACCCCCTCACTTGAACAAATGTTTGAGCCACTCACCGTGGGGTCTGATATCAATCTGTAGAACAGACAGAAGGAATCGGTGGGGAGGACGCTGGTGGTGCTGGATGTTCGACACCACTCGTTCCAGAGCTTCACAACTCCAACCACCTCCCAGCACACAGAATCCAGAATGAAAGAGGACAGGAAAGCTGCAAAACCCCCAGTAATTACTGTTAATTTATAAGTAGTGAAATCTCCGCTGTGCAAATATATTCATCAATCGAATTCCTGCCAATAGCTGCAGAAGACAGATCCAGAATGTCTATCAGCATTTTCCCAGGAAAAACCTGAACAAAATCCAAACAAGTTAACTTGGATATGAAACAAATGCCATCTAAATGGGACACAAATGCAAGCAAGGCGTAAAACCTCTTCATGCCCACGGGGAAAGAGTTACCAAAAAAACCCCTCAAGTTTAAGGGTGTGTGGGAAAGGCAGAGGGTGTTTTGAGCCTCTAGGTCTAAGGAGTAAATAACCACATCAAAAGAGGGCATTTGGAACAAGCGAGGAACTGGAATGTGAAAAAGGGACTGACTGAGCGAAAAACCAAAAGTTTAACACCCCCACCAAAAAAAAACCACAACAAACAAACACTGCTCATGAGAAATTAAAGAAATTACAACTTACTGACCCGCATTTGACAGATCCCTGTTTCACAAGACTAGACTGCACTGAGGAACTCACTACTATTAGCAGAAAACTTCTGCCAATTAAAGGATAAAAATCTCCAGCAGAGTTTTACCAAACAAAAGTCAGGTAAACGGAAAAAGGGGCTGTCCAAAATAAAATCCCAACCCCAAACGTACTTGGCTTCTGCCCTTCAACTGAAAACAAGATCAATTTTCATGAGGAATAAAGAGCTGGAACAAAAAGCGTGTTTTTTCACGTACAAAGTTCATCTCTCTCTGGACAACTCGGCTGTCCCTGGGTTAAAACTCTGCTCCCAAATGAGGAGCTGGACATGCAGTACCCAAAGGGGGTTTACAGGAGGGGTGGAGAGGGACTTTTCACCATGACATGGAGTGAATGGACAAGAAGGAACGGCCTTAAGCTGAAGAAGGGCAGGGTTAGATGGGATACCGGGAAAGAACTCTTCCCTGTGACGGTGGGGAGGGGCTGGGATAGAATTCCCAGAGAAGCTGTGGCTGCCCCTGGATCCCTGGAAGTGTCCCAGGCCAGGCTGGACGGGGCTTGGAGCCACCTGGGCTGGTGGAAGGTTCCACCTTCCCACCTCCCGCCCCCACACGGCCCAGCAGCGTGTCTGGTCCCCACTCGGGCCGGTCCCACACCCACCTGCCGCGTTCCGCCCGATGGCCACGACGAACCGGGAGCACACCAAGGGCTCCGGGGCCAGCCCGCTCCACAGCACATCGACCTCCCTGCGGGGACAACCACACAGCGCCCCGATGCTGGGAGGGACCCGCCAGCATCACCCAGCCCAATCCAACCCCCGGCCCTGCCCAAGGACACCCCAACACTCCCCCCTGTCCCTCAGAGCGTTGCCCAAACGCTCCTGGAGCTCTGGCAGCCTTGGGGCCGTGCCCACTGCCCTGGGGAGCCTGGGCAGTGCCAACCACCCTCTGGGGGAAGAACCTTGTCCCGACCCCCGCCCTCAGCAGCGCTGCCCCCTCCCCGCCCGGAGCCGCCCCCGCACCTTTTCTTCTCCAGCTCCCTGCGGATCTCGCGGTCCTCGGGGGTCTCCTCCCTCTCCTCCTCCTCCTCGTCCAGCCCGGCCCGGGACGGGGCCACCACCACCTCCCCGAAGAAGGTCGCCATGGCCGCCCCGCGCCTGCGCGGCCCCGCCCCGGGACACACGGCGGGATCACGGGATCTTCCGCGGGGGAAGGGACATTCCCGTCCCCCGGATCGGGATCGTCCGCGGGGGAAGGGACATTCCCGTCCCCCGGACCGGGATCGTCCGCGGGGGAAGGAACATTCCTGTCCCCCGGACCGGGATCGTCCGCGGGGGAAGGGGCATTCCCGTCCCCCAGAGCCGCCCTCACCCCGCGGGATCGCCCCGAGCCGCCTCCCCGAGCGGCGCCTTCACCGCCCGGGGCAGCTCGGTACTGTCCTTACCCACCCTTCCCGAAGGAATTTCCCCAAATATCCCATCTGACCCCGCCCGGCTCCACGTGAGGCCGTCTCGCCTCCTGTCCCTTGTTCACCGGGAGCAGAGCCCGACCCCCCCCCGCTCCCCCCTCCTGGCAGGGACTTGCAGAGCCAGAAGGTCCCCCCTGAGCCTCCTTTTCTCCAGGCTGAGCCCCCCCAGCTCCCTCAGCCCCTCCTGCTGCTCCAGCCTCTTCCCAGCTCCCTTCCCTTCCCTGCACACGCTCCAGCCCCTCAGTGTTCACCACCAGCACCCTCAGGGCCTTTCCCATCCCCTCTTATCCCAGGCTGGAGCATTCCTGGGGTTGTTCTGACCCCAAGGCCCTCGGACAGGTTGCAAAGAAGAGCACAGTGACATGACGGGTGTATGAACAGCTTTACTTTGGTCCACTAATAATAACATGTACATCATAAAAGTCTCCAATACTAAAGAATTTTGATTCCTTTATGATTCTGTCCTGCACTTTCTTACTGTTTCCCTCCGTTCAATGCTGCCTGTTCGCTATCACAGATTCAGGTCCTGCTTTAAAACAAACAAAAACACCCTCCAAAGTCATATTAAATAAAAAGATCCTACTTTTACATTGCTTTACTTCCCTGAGTACAGCTGGACCAAACCAAGAACGCTGACTGACTAAAACGACCAGGAAGGTGAAAGAACTGCCAGTTCTGCCAAGAGTCAGCACGCTCATTTAAATAAATTAAAAATAAATAAACTCTCAGAAGCTCAAAGGGTCAAAAAAAATCCCTTTCCAGTTTAACCATTTCCCTTCCCACTGGCTCTTTGGAACCTGTCTGTGTGTATTAAAATTAGGAAATAAAAAGCAGCATGTGCTTTGCTTGGAAAACATAAGTGTTAGGGTCCCTAAGCCAGTGATTCCCTCTGGGATACACAAATCCTGAGGAGAAAACCTTCTCCCAAAACTCTCAGGGATCACCAGGAACACGTGTGAGTGCAGGATTGACAAGACACACCATCTGTGAAAGGGTGAGAAAAGAAAACCAGCTTAGTAAATCTAAGCCTGAACTAGAAATACAAACCTCCCAGCCCAGTTTCAGCTGTTTATAAACTGGAAATTAATAAACACTCTGCCCGTCCCTTCAGAGCTCCTGTACCAGCATCTCTTCCCATGGTGGAGGTTGCACTCCACAGGACACTGATCCCAAGCAGCTGCTGAACAATGCAGTTCATGGAAAACAGAAAAGTACCAGTGGACTTAACTCTCTCTTTTTAACAAAGTTTGCCCCTAAAAGGCAAGATACACAAAACCACCTTGAAACTTCACCACTAAACACAACCGTGTTTTTGTGTTTTCGAAACGAAATAACCAATCCAGATAAATATTTATCTTGAATTTACAAAATTCTGTTTGTGCCCTTTTCAGGGCTATGCCCTAAATAAAATTTCCCCGGGGCAAAAATGATTTCAACTTAAGGCTATTTTTGAACTTCAGATCGAAGCTTTAAAGGAAAAAAAAAAAAAAACAACAAAAAAAGAGTATTTCTCTGTGCTGAGATAATGTTCTGGAAAGCAGAGTGATGTGCTGGTAAATTCACAGTATCAGTGAGGTGGTTGTTGAAGTGTCTCTCTCACTGACTGATTCCCTTCTCCATGACCCATTTGTGCAGGGAGTTCTGCATTAACGACTGTGGTTGTCCAGCTGCACTGACTTTTCATCCCCAAGCCCTTCCAGATCCTGTCACCAGTCCAATCTGCTGGAAAACCAACTCATAAACCTGCGTTTCAGTTGGGCTGGGATAAATCTGATATTCTAATTATAACACACCTTCTATTGAACAACGAGATCAGGAACTGCAAAGTTTTCCAAGTGTAGGGAAAAGGAACCTGCAGAGAGGGAGGAGGAAAACTGGAGTGGGGAAGGACAGAGATTCCCTGGCTCCCACCAGCACAACTCCAAGGAAAATTATGAATTGAGAGTTTTGCTGTGTGTTCTCACTGTTAACACCTGTTCAAGCAGGAACCTGCACCTTTTTCCTGGGGGAAATTTTCTATTTTCTACAAAGAATTCTTTTCCTGTCAACAAAAGCCACCTCAAACATTCTGGAAACAGGAGATGGACTGCAGTGATGAGAAACTGGAAAGGTTTAATCAGTGGGAAATCTAACATTCAAGCACTCGAAACACGGAGGAACAACAGTAGCAAAAAGGTCTGGAATGTCAGAATCCTCCACCTCAACCTTTCCACGCATAAAGAAAACAGAACAAAGTGTTTTGTTTGGTTTTTTTTTTTTTTTTTTTCTGTTTTATAAAGAAAACACACAAAAACCCTTCGGCCCAAGAGTTTTCACCTGCATGTCATAATCTTCAAAGTTTACAGTATAGAAGTCACATTAATGATCAAAGTACTACCTGTCAGCAGAACCCTCCTCACCAGCACCAAGAGCCTCTGGAATTGGCGAATTCACCTCTTCACTGGTAACTGGGCATCCATAATGGAAGTAAAGAACATTTCCACATCTGCACTGAACCGAGTTGTGAAGTTATCAGCCCCCTCACTCCTCCTCTGATGCAAGGTTTGCATCCAACCAGGTTTTTCTGGTGTGTGTACTGTTACTTAGAAGCCTGTTGCTATTGCAGATGATTTCACACAGCATTGAGAGATGTCTGAAATCTGTTCTTGAATGTTGCATGACCTAGGTAGTATTTCATTGCAGCACCCATAACAATAATACTCAACATACTGCTATTAACCTGTTTGCAGTGTTTTTAACATCTTTTTAACTCTTGTTATATGTAATAAAATACCAGTAAAGACAAAAAAAAATTGCCCCTATAATGAGGCACATTTTGGCATCTGTGCTAAATGCTGCTACATGGGCAGGCAAGTGCAAGTCAAAAAATACGAAAAGGAGAAAAAGTCATCGTCAGCTAAATCACATTCGTAACTTTTTCATAGAAAAATATAAATATATTCCCTGAAATGTAGGACGAAGAAGAGCCAGCAGCCGTCGGAGGAGTTTCTAGTGCTATTACCATTAAAAAAAAAAAACAAACAAAAAAACAAACAACAACAAAATAATGACAACCCAAAAGAAACAAAAAAAGGGGGTGTGGTGGTGGTGCTGGCTTTCCTTGGTTAAGGTCACGTGTCGCCGCCGCCGTCATCGTCGCCGTCGTGGTACCGCACAGTCCTCCTGCCCCCGCTCCGCGTGCGCATCCTGGAGCGCCGCCTGGCCCCCCGGCCTCGGGGGGATTCCACCTCCTCCCACTCGTCCTGCTCCTGGCTGGCTTTCCAGCGTTTCCTCCGCTGGGTTCTCCTGGAAGGCCTCAGGGAGTTGGGGACGGGGGTTTCTTTCCTGCCGGTTCTGGGTTTCCTTTTCCTCTTCCTGGTGTCCGTGGTGTCGCTGCACGCGCTGTTGGCAGTCCCGGAGTCCGAGTCGGAGGAGCAGTTGAAGCTGCCTTTGGAACTTCCCGCGGTCCCAGGTGCTTCCACGTCCTCTGACACTGAGCTTTTCTCCTCATTCTTCCCCCTGCTTTCGGATTCTGCCGTTTCTTTGGAGCCAGCCAACCGTTTGGATCTTTTGGAAGAAGCTCGAGATTTTTTATTTGCTGCCACTCGGGGAGTTTTAGTCTTGGGTTTAGCTACGTCAGAATCCACCTCCTCCTCGGAGTTACTCGTACAGTGGTTGTGGGCTGAGGCTGCTTTCCTAGAAACCCCCCAGCTCCCCCCATTTTCCACCCTGTGGTTGGTGGAATTCTCCTCGGAAGAGTCACAGTCCAGATTATTCAGCACCCCAGCACAGGCTGATTTACGAGCCTGCCCGCGGTCCTGCTTTGGAGTCTCTGCCTCCCAGTCAGTCCTTTCATTCTCAGACTCACTGATATATTTCCTTTTAGGAGCAGATGACTCAGGGCAGGGAGGTTTTTTCCTGCCAGAAAACTGCTCTTTCTCGTTCTCAGACCTCAGAGAAGTATCATCCTCCAAGCTATCCACGAGTTTCTTCCTGCACCCCCCGGGTGCTGCGGCACCTTGGAGCTGCTTCCGGCTCTTCCTCCCCGTGCAATCGCTCTCGGAGCTCGACAATTCCTCCTTGGCATCGCTCAGGATCTTGATTTTGTTGGCTGCCAGGGTGGCACACCTGCGGGGGTTCTTCTTCTTGTTGGACATCTTGATGTGCTTCTTGTAGTTGATGATGCAGGTCCTGCTCCTCAGCACTTTCCTGCTCGGTTCCGTCTCCTCGCCGGCCGATTCTGCAAAATTAAAATGGAAAAGTTGTTTTTAATCCCTCACAGCCCCTGAGATAATCAGTTTATTAACTTTACACTCTGGTTTCACATGCAGAGAGATTTAAACCCTTCAGTGACTTAAGGGACTTAAACACTCAGACTGCTGCTGACAGTCAATCTTCCACTCAGCAGTTGGATTTTTAACACACAGCTTCTGATGTTGGGCTTTAAAACCTATTTTCCATCTGTAAATCCTGTGAACGATGCTGTGTGAAGATCAACGGTAAAGAATTATTCATATGTCTCAATTAAAATCAAAAGCAGAAGTTTTTGAAGTGAAATTAAAAAAAAAAAAAAAAAAAGAGGGAAAAGTTATGGGACGTAAATTCCAGCACCAGTACTAACAACTTCTTCATACACCAAGTCTGGTCCTTATTTCAATGTAAATCATGTAATACTCAGTATATTCTTATTTTGACACTGCCAAAGGATAATTCATCTCCTGCTGAATACTGCAAAATATTCTATAAAAAGTGAATTCATTCACAGATTAAAAAAAAAATGAAGGGTTAAATCTCCAATTATACCCTCTCCTCCAATATTATTATCACTAAAGTTTAAAGAGTGACAGAATATTAAATCTATATTTTGTATCCAAGACCTTAAATTGAGAATAAATCTGTTTGATAAAAGTTCAGTTGAATTCATCCTGAATTCAAAGCTGCAAAAAGGGACAAAAAAGGAAGAAAAAGGGGGAATATTAAACCAACTGCCCACAAAAACTGGGAGAGAGATGGGGAATTTCTGCCCACCGAGCTGGCCTGGAGTTCATCATTAACTCCAAACCTGGAATACAGGGTAGGAAAATCCAGCCAGAGCTCCATCAGCTCATCTGCATTTTATATATTAAAATATATTTAAACCCCTCCCCAAAGTAAAGCTTCCACATAAATTGTTTAGCTGGTTAATTGTGCACTGTATATATATATATATATATATATATATGTATATATATGTGTACTCACACATGTAAATGTCTAAAATATACACATTTATTTGAAAATAGGTATTATATAAATACAAATGTGCCTATATATGTATTTAAATAAAATATGTATTTTAATAAAAGCCTATATATGTGTTTAAATAAATATTTATATATGTATTGTAAATAAAAATTTAAATAAAGGAAAACAGATATTATATAAATACAAATGTGCCTATATATGTATTTAAAGAAATTTAAAGGACCTGAAATGAGGTGCCAAAGAAGCTTGAGAATGGAAATGTTACCAAAAGCTGTAAATTCCTACTAAATCAAGTATATGTACAAATATCTTCCCTCTTTGTTGTATGAAGTCTCAAAGTAATGGTCCAGGACTCCAAAAAACTCCTCCCCCCCCAATTTTCTTCTCCTCCCAATTTTCCAGCTGGATCCTTTCCCACTGCTAATGATAAAAAAGTATGTTTAGCACATATAAAACTTAAGATTTTTAAATTCAACTTCAGAGATAATGATTTTCTTCTCAAGATTTTTAAGGTAGTTTAGACCAAGCTCCAAATATTCTTTCAAATTCCAAATCAGGACTAATTCCCTGATAAAACAGACAAATAATGTACAGGACCTGTTTTAAGCATTGTTGTGATAATCTTAAAAAAAAAAAAAAACAACAAAAACCCAAACCCCAACTGTCCAAATCACAGCACACACAAATATTTGAGTGACAGACAAAAAAAAAATACCCAAAATTAAAGAATTTAGCTTTTTGAAACAAGTGAAATGATAAATCTGACTTCAAGCCTGTTTTGAGGATTCTGACAGATCAAAATCCAGATGTCAAACCAAGTGGCAGGTTCTGGTGCCCACCAGGGACGTGAGAGTAACGAAAACACCTCCCAATCCAATTTGTTTTGAAAATAAATTATCAATATTTTGAAAATAAATTATCAATAAAATGACTGCTTTAAATCCAGGCCAGCACAGAAAATTTTCAACAGGAAATTCAGATCATCTTTACCCACAAACCGAGGGCAAGAAAACTACAAACCAGAAGGTTTTGGTTACTGAAATTCTCTAATCAGGTCCCAGAGATTTTCCTCTGTCA